TTCGAAAATATTTGCTGAATATAGTTTTGGCGAAACAAAATTCTTAGTTAGTAACAAATACCAATCAATGAGGGAATTTTGAATTCTCAGGAACCTTCTTCAAATCCTCTTTTACCTCCCCATTTGGTTTAATTTGACTTATCATTTATTTACCCAATTTAATATTAATTGTTAATATTCTTAGAAAATACATCGAAATATCCGTGAATGACATTATAAATTCAAAGCGGATCATTGAATGCCATCTAATTGAATTACTACGAACTTTGCTTGTTATTTGTTTTCCGTTTTAGTATGACGACATAACAGAATACCAACAGGACATTTGTTGTGACAACTAACAGGGTGTGTTCTTTTTTGTTTGTTTGAGGACATTCATTTGTTATGTTTGGAACAAAAGTTAATCCAATTTTATTTTAAAATACTCTGTGGAATAAATAATTGACCTGTGACCTACCCCTCAAAAGTAACATTATTTTTTTATGTTTTGTCATTTGTTGGCAAACACTAAAGTTTTTTAAAATAGGCAGAATATCATTAATTGGTTAACATTTTTTGGAATGTATAAAATATTTTGTATAAATACATTAATGAAGCGTATCTTTTTATAACCATTCCTGTAAGACAAAGTTTGACTTTTATGTAAAATATCGTACTTTAAGGATCATTACGAAGCATGAGGACACAAATATACCTAACATTTGATTATTGTGATGCATTTATATTTTAAAACAGAATTTCAAACAAAACAGAGGGAGGAAAGTCATTTCCAAAACCAAGTAGAACACCTTCCTGGCTGAACCTCAAGGTCTTGGTTTTGTTAATGAGGACGGACGCACCGAGTCCCCTGCAAGCATTTGGATGTGAGTTTTTAACTCCATTACCTAATATTACACTACTTTGTCGCTTCCTGCTTATGAAACGTCGATAGTTGGTCGATTTGCAATAACAATTCTATTGCCCCACTACAGTCAACTAATTTTCATCTCCAATAGTAACTTTTTTGGCACTTCCCGTAGATTAAAGAGCGATTGTTTTGTTTTACTCCCAAAACGTAGAACAAAATTAAACGAGTTCAGTTTATCGGAGATCGGCATTGGTGCATGAGTGCAAAAACTGTTAAATGAAAAATATATTACATTTATTTAGTGCGTGGTTCATTTCTTGCCGAACGGTTTACCTTTTTGGTTAAAGATTCGAGATCGCCGGCGAGGGTTTTCATCGCCTGTTGGTGACTTTTTAGTTATGTCAGCGACAAAAAATGCTTGCTGGGTCGTGGTATGTGAAAGCATGCAGAGATAGAGAGCATTTTTATCTCTGTATGCTTTCACATACCATGACTCGGTGCATCAGCAGAGTCTCTCCCAACTCTAATTTGAAATTATGTCATTGGCCGTATCCATAGTCGGTGCATCTGCAGAAGGTGGTGGTTATTTGTTGGTATTGTGTTAGTTGTTTAAATTTTTCTCCATAAAAAGAAGGGACTGAGAATGTTAAGAGGTCCCCCATAACATAGCCTCCATATCATGGTAAGGACTTGACAACAAAGCCTGTTACTCGTCGAGGCGTCCAGGTATCATTGAGGCCACCATTGGAATACAGTCGGCTAGTCACGGTTTACGTAACACACCAGCGTTTGGGAGTCCGTTAGTTTGAGGCTTTGCCTCGTCGAGTCCAAGGATCACAGGCAATCGCGGATTTCATTCTAGACTCTCTCCCTGGAAACAGATGTGCTGTCTGTGACTGCATATTTAAGTCGTAGTTATCCAATATATGTATCGGGCGTTCCACTTTTCGCAAACTGTGGAAGCCGGACGCTTCCTCCCGTCCTTTTTCTTTTTTCAGCTATTGCGTATTCTAATAATTTTAGCCACATTTTTCACAGGAATCATTTAAAAGTATACCCTCAGGTGTATGGCTACAAAGGGTATACATCATTTTATACGGCTAAAACATTCATCATCGAAATAACGGCTTTAGACCATATGTTTTGTCCATCCGTCTGTCTGTCTGGCTGACTGGATCGCACAAAGGAAGTATCCAATTTTTGTCCATGCTTGGTGCATCGTAATATTATTATCAAATATAGATCGATTTGGAGATGGGTAATATCGTCCACACTATTATCAAAATCCTCCCCCCACCCAAAAAAAAAAATTAAAATTTTCACAGATAATATTTGGCTTCATAGAAAGAAAAGGGAAGATTCACATTTGTTCAAATATGGAAAGTGCTAATATTTGCATCAGTGCTAGATCAGGTTCATACGTACCTATCGGCTTACTCTACCAAATACCTCCTCAACAATTTGTCAAAATTACTAATAGTTGTAATTCTTATAAAATGTGAAATAAGAGTTCGATAGTCTTCAAATTTATCTTTTCACAATATTTCTATCAACAAAAGATCTGGTACATCCCCCACAACTGATCAACATTTTTAGTAACCATGAAACGCGAATTAAGCATACGACTCTCATAGAATTTCACACCTCCAAAAATATTTTTAATGCAAGGTCTGGTGTGAAAGATCCACTTCTTCTATCACCTCCCCCACAGAGGTGTTACAATTTTGTATAACCCAAAAATAAAAAAAAAATAAAAAGCGATATAAACATCCGATTCATTCTAAACTTCACACATTCCAATATTTCCGCTTACACAAGATATCTTGTCATGATGGCATATATCGGCCTACTCCTTTTTGGTACCTTACCCAAAAAGGGTTCATGATTTTAAATACCAAAACGGGGTTTAAGCATTAAATTCTCTTCAAATTTCATACATTCCAATATATTCACTGACGCAGAATTTGGTGTGAAAATGTTAGATATTGGAAATAAAATTTCGATTTTTTTTTAAATTTTACACATCCGATTTTTTTTTTTATATTAGACCAAGTGGAATTTGTGGTATATATTCAAGTAAACGGACATTGGCTGAGTTCATACATCTGTAGGCGAAAACGACAGATAATTTTTAAGTGTGTTTAATACCCTGTACCATACATAGTATGGAGGGTATATAAAGTTCGTCATTCCGTTTGTAATTCACAACTTTAGACATAACAACGTAAAATTTTAAGACGATTTAGCCATGTTCATCCGCCCGTCTGTCCGTCTGTTGTAATCACGCTAGAGTCAAACCTATAAAGATAGCAAAATAAAATGTACAGATCAGTCTTTTGTCTTCAAGCAGGTCAAGTTCGAAGATGGTCCACAATAATGTATAACTCACATACAACGGTACCCCTGATGTTCGATATTTTGACGATTTTAGGGACATTATTCACCGGAGTTGTTTCGGTATTTTCGGTTTTAGGTACAATATTAATCGAAATTGTTTGAAATTTCGTATTTGAAATTCCTAATAGGCCTATAACCAAAAATTGTCTATATAGGTTCAGGTCTTCATATAGCCCCGATATAACGGTACCTCCCTATATTCGGTATTTTGATAACTTTAGCTACAGTATTCACTGATTTTTTTCAAGTTTCGTAATGGCTTATGACAAAAGTGGCCTATGCCGATCTACGTCTTCATATAAACCCCAATATAGCAGGTATATTTGGTATTTTTGAGATTTTAACAGCATTTTAACTGATTTTATTTTTTTAACATTTCCAAATTCGTCCCATATGGTGGAGGGTATTCAAATATAATACTTTTTTTGAGAAAAATATCTATGACTTTGCACGTGGCGCTGTCCGGTTGAAAGGAAATTCTGTAAATTCCTCCTTTTCACTCGGTCAACATGCCTCAAAACGATGGTTTCGAGTGTATCAGCTTTTCAATGGGGTTTTTGTGCTCCAAATGATACAATTTTGCTTCCTCGAGTAAGAATTTTCTATTCTATTGTACAAATCTTACCTAATCATTTAATCAACTTTCATGTTTATATCTGGAGAGTTTATGAAGCATTAAATTATTAATTTTATAAAGCATTTAATGTTTCAAGCCATGCTGGATTATGCTTTTGTTAGTTTTTTAATAATCTTTTTAATTATTAAATAATTCATTTTTTAATTGGGGCAGTCAAATTTTAATCGAACATGTTTTTTTTCGAAACTTATTTTTTTTATATGAAACTCTCTCGGTATATATGAGAAACATGTCGAGCCCCAAATTTCAAAGAATTTATGAAAACTAATTTCACAAAAATTAAAGTTTTCACAAAGTGGTGGGTATAAAGAGCTCGGCCCTGCCGTACTTAACACCGTTTTAATTGTGATTTGTCGTTGTTATATTGTTAAATATAGTTGTCTAAGGCTACACTTTTAGGATTTAACAACCTTTTCAGTTACTTCCACACTTACCTTCTATTGCAGTATCATGTGCTATATGTTTTTGGTTATAGATAAAAACTTGAGACATTTCACTCTTTCGACTACTCAAAACGTTTGAAATGGTGAGATGTCTTTTAGTTGCCAAGCAAACAAAGAAGAGGACTTCAAAGATTATTTGCATTGTCACCACAGCGAATCAACAGACTTGTCCACACAATGCTTCCTTATGAATTTGTTCACTTTGTATATCCTCCGGTGATAGTTTATCTATGTCCACAGTAAATATTTATTACCCTGTCACTGTCCAAGCGGCAACAAATGATGGTAATATTCCAAATCGAAAGAAAACCCCTGTAACATTATTATGCTGTTAAGTAGATGACATTCAGTTCGGGACACCAACTCGGGATGCCATCACATGTAACAGGGGCTGTTGGCCGACAATGCTCTTCAAATTTGCATAAAAAGCATTCACTTTGATGTCGTCTCCTCCTTCGACGAGTGTCAAGTGTCTGTTGTCGTAATGTCAAGCTTTTTAAATTGGATCTACGATTTGTCAACTCTTGACACTAAATCTTCCTTTTAACTTCTTAATCCGCATTTCAGTTGCATCTCCCTTCCTTTCCCTCTCCCTCTCTCACTCTTTCAGACATTTTTCTGATTGTCATTGACCGGTGGTTTTATTCGAATTTTTTTGCTTCCACTCTTTTTTCAGGGAACTACGCAAAGGAGTCCGTTGCATACAGAGCTATACACGCCGCTGCATGGATCTGCAGCAACGCAATCAATTCAACAAATTGTATCATGGCACTAATCAATTCATACGGGATCTGTGTAACAAGGGCGAATTTCAAGATGGTAAGTTTCGAGCATCAGATTATTTTTGCATTTGGCTTAAGGCAGCAGCGAAAAAAGCTGTTGTGGCATTTAAAATCATTTATCAATTTGTGGAAACTGCACACACACACACCTTGACGAGCATATTTTAACTTGGCTTTGGTTAATCAGGTGCTCGAGAGGATAATTAAAAATTAAATGTCTCGTTTGTTCGTTTTGTTGTTGGTGTTGTATTCAATGTAATTTGTATCAATTGACATGTAAATCAATGAAAGGCCGGCTACTCTAAAGGACTTTTTAATGGATATAAGCGCTGTTCCGGTCAGTTGGTAATTACGAATTAATTACTGCCGTCTAGACCGGTCATAAGGAGTTGAGAGTGGCACGCATACTTTTTGGCTGCAAAATAAGAGAGTTTCCAATGTTGCTTGTAATTGGCAGGATAATCAGCAATTTAATAGCGGAAATGTGTTTCATGGCTTATATTGTAAAACAGTAGTTTGAATGTAAGAAGTTTAAATGTATATTTTTCTGGATATATATAGACGACCGCTAGGTCTTTGTAGAGGACCTCGTCGTCTTCTATTGACCATGGAAGACCTCAAGGAAATTTATTGACCATGGAGTACCTCGAAGTCATCTATTGGGCATAGAAGAACTTGAGGTCTTCTTAAGGAGTCTTGACTTCAGAGGACCTCGAGGTCTTCTATTGACCATAGAGGATTTCGAGGCCTACTATTAAACATAGAGGACCTTGATGTCTTCCATTGTCCTCAGAGAACCTCGAGATCTTCTATTGATCATAGAGGATTTCGAGGTCTTATTTTGACAATAGAGGTCCTCGTGGTCTTCTATTGACCATAGAGGACCTCGTGGTCTTCCATTGACCATAGAGGATCTCGTGGTCTTCTATTCTATGGTCAATAGAAGACCTTGAGGTCTGTTAAGGAGTCTTGACCTCAGAGGACCTCGAGGACTTCTATTGACCATAGAGGATTTAGAAGCCTTCTATTGAGCATAGAGCACCTCGATGTTTTCCATTGACCATAGAGGATTTCGAGGTCTTATTTTGACAATAGAGGATTTTGAGTACTTACTTTGACCATGGAGGACCGAGGTGGTCTTCTATTGTCCATGGAGGACCGAGGTCGTCTTCTATTGTCCATAGAGGACCTCGAGATCTTATATTGACCATAGGGGACCTCGAGGTCTCATATTGAGCATAGAGGACCTCGAGGTCTCATATTTACCATAGAGGACCTCGAGGTCTCTTATTGACCATATAGGACCTCGAGGTCTCATATTAACCATTGAGGACCTCGAGGTCTCATATTGACCATAGAGGACCTCGAGGTCTCATATTGACCATAGAGGACCTCGAGGTCTCATATTGACCATAGAGGACCTAAGGTCTTCCATTGACCACAGAGTACCTAAGGTCTTCCATTGACCATAGAGGACCTCGAGGTCTTCTATTGACCATAGAGGACCTAAGGTCTTCCATTGACAATAGAGGACCTTGAGGGCTTCTTCGGCCAAAAATTAAATCATCCAAGTTTTCTTCAATATAGGGAATTAATAAAGGTATTCAATGTATGGGAGACCTATATAACGTTCCCTATTTTCTAAAGGCCTGTAGAAGGTCTAATATATATGTAAGACCTATAAAAGGGCTTCTACATAAAGACAATCTATAAAAGTTCTCCTGTGGGTCTCTGGAAGTTATTCTATATATAGATTACAGGAAGCCTTAAGACGATCGTCTGGGTATTGATCCTTCAGGTATTTTGGTAGGTCTTCTGTAAATTGAGATGTGTGAAATGCTAAGAGAATTGGATTCTCAATTCGCTCTTTATGATCGTTTTGGCTATTCAAGGAGGGGAGATACCAGCAGGAGCGGGCCAATATCTACCATCTTAACACCAGATCTTGTGTTAATAACAATATTGAGATATGGAAAATCGGACTTTTAGTTCATATTTTATAAGATTTATAATACTTCCAAATATTGACCCTTTGTGGGGGTGGTACTTGATGGAGTGGGCTGACCTAGTACAGAAAAAAATATTGGGGTTACAAAGTCTGCACAAAATCGAAAAATCCTTTCTCTTTCATTGAGGTAAATTATTTTCTTTGAAAATGTTGACCAGGTGGAGTGGACCGTTGTTGCTCATCTCCGAACTCGATCTAAGTTTGACGATAATGATGCGATGCACTATGTTTGGACCAAATCAGATACTCTCTTCGAGAGTTATCGTGTGCATCTGACTTCAAATGCCGTGAAACAGATTTTATTAATAGAGACCTAGGGTTTAAAACTGTTATTTTGATGGGGCACATTTTTGCTGTATCAAATGATATATCCTCTGTAGCCACATGGCTGAGGTATAATGGTGAGGATTGATCTTTCCGAAACCGCGGTGTTCCTTGTTTACCTCCTGGTAAATATTACCTTCTTTTCCCGCTAATAAATTAACATTGTTTAAAAAAAAAAAATTATGTGACTAAGCCTTAATATTTTGTAGCAGTAAAATTTCTAATTAATTTTTTTAAACAGCCAGAAATTTAAAATCATTTTATTCACCAATTTTCCGACTCATGATTTTGACAATAAATGCAAGGTCAGCCTCCCAGACAAAGTCAGGCCCTGCGCAGCTAGCCATATGTAAATCAGTACTTAAAGACAAAAGCTTTGCGAAAACGAGCTCAGATATTAATTAGCTCCGGCCAAAAAGCCATTCAATGGCAAAATCGACCAATCCACTGACTGAATGGATGATTTATTGTTCTTCAATTGTAAAATATTCTCCTTTTTTTTAAATTCAGGGTATCAATGAAGGCAGACACCGGCCATAACAGGATGAGATAACCAGATGTGGTCAACATATGAACGAAATTCCAATTAAAGGCAAACATATTTTGCTACGGTTAATGGAGAGCGAGAGCGAACAATAGATGGGATGATGTGTTGCCTTGGGGCATGGTAATAAACCTAGGCTACGTGTCGTCAAATGGTACACTGTCAATTTTCAGAAATGTGTTAAAGACAGGAATTAAGATCTAATCATTAAATTTTAAAATTTAAACGTTTCAATATTTCCAAACAGAAAGCTTAGGTTAGGTTAAAAAGAGGGGCGAAATACTCGGGTCATGTCCTGGTGGACAAAAACTTATGCCGGTATAGGCTTGTCGTGCGCACTATACTAAAAATTAGATCCAAATAGATAAGTCCCTTAAGTATCTCAAAATGCAACCCTCTCCAAATGATATCTTCCATGTTGATACTATGGCTTTTCTCTCACTGCAGCGCCTAAAAACCCACCCAACATTTTTTTGAAAATTCTTTGTTGCATTCTATTTTGCACACACAGACACTCTAACACATTTACATTCTATAGTTTAGTTAAAACAGAGGTTTGCCAATATAGATTTTCCCAGTATTGTCTCTAAAAACTCTACCACACTTATCTATTCAGGTTCAGACTTCTTTAATTTAAACGACAAATGAACGATTCATTGCCATTGCTGAATTGCCAATGAATGAACCAGGCTAGTGCATGAGAGTGTGGGTTAGTGTTTGTGTGTGTGTGTGTGTAGGGCCGCTCCTTGTAGTGTATCATTTTCTGGATTTTGTTTCAATATTCTGCTAATGTTTTGTTCGTCTTCTTCTTTCTTTTTTTGTTCTTTTTTCTTCTTCTCCTGCTTTTTGCATCGTTCTCTGGCGGCAGAATACCTGAAACATGCACCATGCTCACAAAAGGCTAAAAGGGAATTCGAAGTATGTGCCAATCGTTATAAGGAAACAATGCTATTCCTGAAGCCTAACAACAATCAGGAAAACCATGAAAATATCACCCTCAGTGAGAACATTAAAACGATATGCTGGTAAGTATGAATGTAATCGATATGTACACGAACATACACATATACATACATACATACATCGACGTCGATGAAGTTAAACGGAAATACTAATTGAGTACTATTTCCTCGAAATAGTTAAAAGTCAGACTGTGGGTAATAGCAGTGATACATTTTAAAGTAAAAAAATTATGGAGGAACAGGTGAATATATAGACAAAGTGAATGATGTTTCAAAAGATGAACTGAAGGACGATTTATAAAAAAAAGTCTTCAGAGTTTGTATAGACGAGTTGTGACAAATCTTTGTAGATCAGCCACAACGAAACTTTGTAGGCAAAACAGAGGGAGTTTGTATATAACGTCGGATAAAAGGATTAAGGGTGTCGATATAGACATCCTGGAGGGAGTCGATATAGACGAACTGGAGGTAGTCAATATAGACGAACTGGAGGTGGTCGATATAGAAGACCTGGAGGGAGTCGATATAGACGAGCTGGAGAGAGTCGATATTGACAACCTGGAGGGAGTCGATATAGACGACCAGGGGGGAATCGATATAGACGAGTTGGGGGAGTCGATATGGAAGACTTGGAGAAAGTCGATATAGACGAGCTGGAGATAGTCGATATGGACGACCTGAAGGGAGGCGACATGGATGAACTGAAGGGAGACGATATAGACGAGCTGGAAGGAGTCGATATGGACGAAATAGAGAGAGTCGATATGGACGAACTAGAGAGAGGCGATATGGACGAGTTGACGGGAGTTGATACAGATGAGTTGGAGGGAGTGGATATAGATGAACTGGAAGGAGATGATATAGACGAGCTGGAGGGAGTCGATATAGACGAGCTAAAGGGAGTCGATATAGACGAGCTAAAGGGAGTCGATATAGACGAGCTAAAGGGAGTCGATATAGACGAGCTGGAGGTAGTCAATATGGACGAGCTGGAGGAAGTCGATATGGACGACCTGAAGGGAGGCGACATGGATGAACTGATGGGAGACGATATAGACGAGCTAAAGGGAGTCGATATAGACGAGCTAAAGGGAGCTGATATAGACGAGCTAAAGGGAGTCGATATAGACGATCTAAACGGAGTCGATATAGACGAGCTAAAGGGAGTCGATATAGACGACTTGGAGGAAGTCGATATAGACGAGCTGGAGGGAGTCGATATAGACGAGCTGGAGGGAGTCGTTGTGGACGAACTAGAGAGAGCCGATATGGACGAGTTGGATGTAGAAGAAGTCGATATAGACAACTTGGAGGAAGTCGATATAGACGAGCTGAAAGGAGAGGATATAGACTAGCAGAAGTGAGTCGATATAGACCTAGAGGCGGTAGATATAAACGAGCTGTTAGGAGTTTGTTTGGACGCCCTGGAGGGAGGAACTTGAAGGTTGTCTCTATAGAAGAACTTGAAGGTCGTCATTATAGACGAGTTTTTATAGACTAGCCGATGGCCACTTCTATATATTAGTTTAAGGCCGAATCTATAGGCGTAACCAAAGCCGCGTATATGGAAGAGCTGAAGAACCACTTTATAGACCAGCTTTATCAAAGAGATAAAGGCCGACTCTTTAGACGACTTTTGACGAACAAAGGGCATCTTCATAAGCGATTTGGGATGTCTTTATAAAAAAGGAAGAATCGTCTTTCGGGGAGCTGAAGGAACAACTTATAAAATAGCTGTAAGACATATTTATCAATGTTCAAAGGACTACTCAAAAATTCAAAATTATATTTCTTATAGTTTTTCGAACAACATTTTTTTAAACCCAGAATTAGAGCTCTGATGGTCCTTTGAAAACTATTTCCTAATATCCACTATTAAAGTTGTGGAGTATCAGAACTTTGAAAAACCATTTCCTAAAATTCACGTTTAGACTTTTAATAGTCCTCTGAAAACTATTACTTAAATTATATTGTTAAAGGTCTAAGAGTCCTAGTTAAGTCCTTCCAAGAATTTATTTAAAAATCCATGTTTAATCCTTTAAAAATATATATATCCTTTCAAAAATTTATATAAAACTTCACGTTACGTCTTCTCAAAAATTTATATAAAACTTCACGTTAAGTCCTCTCAAAAATTCATTTAAAAATCCAAGTTGATTCCTTTAAAATATTCATTTAAAAATCCACATTTAGTACCTTGAAGAATATGTTCAAAAACCCACGTTTAGTCCTTTGAAAAATAAATTTAAAAAATCCACGTTTAGTCCTTTGAAAAATATATTTAAAAACCCACGTTTAGTCCTTTGAAAAATAAATTTAAAAAATCCACGTTTAGTCCTTTGAAAAATATATTTAAAAAATCCTTGATTAGTCCTTTAAAATTATATTTAAATAAATCCACGTTTAGTCCTTCGGAAAATGTATTTAAGAAATACTAATTCAGTCCTTCGTAAAATGTATTTAAAAAATCTTTGATTAGTCTTTTGAAATTATATTTAAAAAATCCTTGATTAGTCCTTTGAAATTATATTTAAAAAATCCTTGTTTAGTCCTTTGAAATTATATTTAATTAAATCCATGTTTAGGCCTTTGAAAAATATATTTAAAAATCCACGTTTAATTCTTTGAATAAGTATTAAACATTCACGTTTAGTCCTTTGAATAAGTATAAAAAATTCACGTTTAGTCCTTTTAAAATATATTTAAAAATCCACGTTTAGTCCTTTGAAAAATATATTTAAAAATCCTAATTTAGTCCTTTGAAAAATATATTTACAAATCCACGTGAAATCCTTTGAACAATGTATTTAAAAATCCACGTTTAGTTCTTTGAAAAATATATTTAAAAATCCACGTTTAGTTCTTTGAAAAATATATTTAAAAATCCACGTTTAGTTCTTTGAAAAATATATTTAAAAATCCCAGCTTGGTCCTTTGAAAAATATATTTAAAAATCCAAGCTTAGTCCTTTAAAAATATTTTCAAAAATCCACGTTTAGTCCTTTGAAAAATATATTTAAAAATCCACGTTTAGTCCTTTAAAATTATATTCAAAAATCCACGTTTAGTCCTTTAAAATTATATTCAAAAATCCACGTTTAGTCCTTTGAAAAATATATTTAAAAATCCACGTTTAGTCCTTTGCAAAATATATTTAAAAATCCACATTTCGTCCTTTGAAAAATATATTTAAAAATCCACGTTTAGTCCTTTGCAAAATATATTTAAAAATCCAAATTTAGTCCTTTGAAAAATACATATTAAAAAATCCACGTTTCGTCATTTGACATAAATCCATGCTTAGTCCTTTTCAAAAAATATTTAAAAATCCACGTTTGGTGCTTTGAATAATGTGTTTTGAAGTCCACTTTCATATCTCTGGTAGTCCCTTCTACGGTTAGAGTTCTGATAGCCCTCTGAAAACTATTTCGCAAAATCTCTGGATATAGCTCTAAGAGCCCAATGCAAAAATATTTAAAATATCAAAATTTTGTTTTTTCAAATATTAACTTAAAAGTCCAGGATTATTTCTTTCAGAAAAAATATTTAATAATCCACATTTAGCCCTTTCAAATATTTATTAAAATATCTACGTTTAGCACGTTTAGTGGATTTTTTTAAAAATCCACGCTTAGTTCTATCAAAACAATATTTAAAAAATCTACGTTTAGTTCTTTAAGTAAGAAATTCACGTTTGGTCCTTTGAATAATGTGTTTAAAGTCCGTGCTTAGATCTACGGTAGTCCTTTATTCGATCAGAACTCTGAGCACGTCCATAGCTCCCATAGTCTTTCAGAAAAACATTCCTTACAATCCACGTTTTAAGTTCCATAGTCTTTCCAAAAACATTCCCAAAATGTCCCTACCAACTTTTTAAAACAGTATACTTTTTTGCATCTATTACTATCTTGTCTCACAGTACCCACTGTAAAGCCGATAGCATTCCTCATGCAATTCGTATATTATTATCCCCTGGGAAATGAAACCAAATTACCTGTTAACGTCATTGGCAAATGTGCTAGTCGATATTTGTTGCACACACAGACAGGCAGACATCCATACATACATATACACCTATAAAAGTCATTTCAAACCAGGCAACTAAATAACGTTCCTCCTGCTTTTTTGGCTTTTTAAATTTACAGCTCCATCAATGAACTTGTCGACTGTTCCGAAAATGCTGCTAAAAAGATATGTGGGCCTGATGCTGCAAAATTTACACGTGAATTAGTCGATAAATACGCCAACAGCTTAACCAGGGTGAGTTACTACCGTTCAACTTTTATGTGGTTGTTGTTGTCTGTTGTCTTGTGTCTTTTGTACACCAACATGGCAAATCGTAAAAGCATAAGGATGGGTTTATGTCCAGACATACATGCGGATATACCCAATGCAAGGCAAGGGGTATTGTTACACAAAACTATGCAACAAAATACCCAGCAAACTATTTTCAAAGAAAAAATAAAACAAAAAAAAAATTAAAATAATTAAATTTTGTTGTTAATTAATAATATTTCGAAATTAGCTAGTTGTTTGTCTGAAGATCATCAAATATGCATAAGTGGTTTCCAAAAAATAAAATATTCCCATTGTTTGCTGGGTTATTTGAATGTACTAGACAATAATTCTCTTTAATGACGGCCTAATATGTCCTGCCGGCACCCATCCTTAAAAGTGTGTTGGTGTGATTCCCCCAAAATAAGTAACACCCACACAGCATTCCACACCAAAAAATTTTTGAACCACATAACAGGCAACAGAACACAGACTGTTTAGGCTATAAATCTAAACATTGAAAAACGACTCATTCTCTCCCTGACCTCTGGTGTCTTTTATTGATGCTCATTTCAGATTTACTGCGAAGATTTTACACGACATCCGGGAATTTGTCGCAACGGCGATGGCGATGCTGGGACAGCTTTACACAGTTCTTGGCAACAGATAATGTTGCTAATGGCGGCACTCTTCTGCCTGGTGACCTATCAACAGAACCAATGGCTACAAAGATAGATGGCATTGCATATTTCTTTATATCATCAGTTAAGTTAGTTGCAACAGGAGTAGTAGTTTTTAAAAAAAACCAAAACAACAACCACAACAAAAGCAAAAACACAAGTGCGATGGGTTTTTTTCGGACGAAATAAAAGTTGTTTTGAGGAAGACAGACCCCCCACCACCAACAACAACCAGCCACACCATGAACACCAAAATAATAGTGACGATGATGAAGAAACCCAATTCTGCCACTACCTCGACACCAACCACATGGCACTGACCCAAAGAAAAAAATAAACAGAAAAAACAAAGAAAATAGCAGCAACATCAACAAAATTTAATACAACAACAACAACGTCGTATGAAGGACCAACTCTTCGAAATACAGTGCGGTAATATTTTGAGCCTGAATGATAATTGTGTAGCAAATGGCCAAAGCCAAATTTTCACCATTCATGGTATTCCCATAAAAAATGGATCTCTTTCTTACTTTCTGCTTATTTATTTTGCTTTGTTTCCTTTTGTAAATTTTCGTTTCTTATTCTTATTCTTCTTCTTATTTTTAATTTTATTATTAATCAATAAATGTTATGTTATTATTTATTAAAAAATAGTCATATGTTCATCATTTAATCGTTAGATGGTCCAATGTATTTGGAAGTGTCATAAGAGTCCTTCAAAGGGTTTAAAATTGAGAAGGCGAAAAATAAATTATTTTTTCTTGATTTTAATTTCCCGGAATATCTACAGAAAATAATAATTTTGAATTTGTACTTTTCAAAATCAAATGAAATTTGAGATACACCAAATATTAAGAAACCAGAGTTCGGCAAGCAGTACACATCAAATACATGAGAGCGTGGTTTCTTCAACTAATGTACATGTCGGAGTGACTCTTGATCCCTCGACTAACATAATTTCTGATATAAATGAGTAAAAATGTTATTAACTCAGACCGGACCCAATTGTTACTACACTTCACTGTTTGGGAAGTTACAAAATAGTATTTGAGCGGTTTATTTTATATTTGTTATTAGAAACTTGCGATACCCAATTTCAAAAATTTTCTCTAGAACAAGTTAGAGAGTTCAGTAGGTGTTCCGACAGATACATACCCTCATCATACCCCTCTTTGGGAGATCTCTTCATATTCGATCTAATATTAGTAGAAGTATTGGGATGTGTGGTCTGGGGAATAATTTCGTATTTTATGAGAGATTTGATCTTTAGAAATGTTAACCCTTTAATGCAGAGGAGTGGACACATATTTTATTGGAATAGCGACGCTTAAAGGACATCTATTACAAATGACACATTAAATAAGAAATATGAGGTTTTGGAAATTGATTTCCTAATTTTTGAGGCAGTAATTACAAAGAAATATTTATCTATGTATCAAGTTTAACCTACATCGGTGTCTTCCTTCGCTCTGTATGAGGTTCTGATATATATTTTTTGCAACATTTGTGAACCTTTGTCGGGGAGAGAGGGGAAGTAAGAGTAAGACGATATTGCCCATCTCCGAACTCGATCTAAATCTGTTAAAAATTAAATCAGGTACTCCTTTCAAATGTTCCCATGTACGAAGGTAGATAGAGACAAACATTTTCACCATATCAATAGTTGTATGACTGAGAAAATATGAAAATATGGCTGATATTATCAAAATATCAAATTTCACGAAATGTAGATCTGATTAGACAATTTTTATACCAGCGGGGATAATACATATACGAACTTAACTTCATATAGTCTAAATATCGACTTATGGAAGTTTCCTCTATATAGAAGCTATTCTAGAGAACTGTATGCCAGAGAAAACGTGAAAATTGCACCTGCATAGCCATTCATCAAATAGAAAATTTCGAGAGAATCCCATTAGAATTCGTCAAAATCTGGACTTTCAGAAGATTACTTTATATGGGGGCTATATGACAAAGAGGACATTTTTCCAAATACCAACTTTGAGAAAAATTCGTTGAAAAATGTGTCTTTCGCTTTTCAAGCTTGGAGCTGTATTTTGGAAACTTCAAAAAAAGTACATTGTCTACGTACTGTTATATGGAAACTATTCGAAAACGTAAACCTACATAGACAACTATTAGCCAGAAAACATGGAACCTATAGCAGGCTCCAAATATCAACTTTGAGAAAACTTGGTTAAAAAAATATTACTTATGTCGTCAAAATCTCAAGGAGTGTGGACAATTATATGCCATATAAAGTCGTACCACATGCGGACAGCAAATACCAACTGTAAAAAAATTAAGCTGTGAAATTTCTCTAAATTGTCTAAATACAAAATAGTAGGGACCTCCATTCTTTATGACCTATACCACATTTTGGACCCATATGGGCAGTTCGCAATTCAAATAAAAGTTATCCCAACTAAAACACATTTTTTATAATTTTAAATAAAACACAGATATTTTGTTGTTGCAAAATGGTCAGGCTTAATTATTGTTGTTTTTATAAAAGCAACGTTCGTTTATTAGTGGAGAACGATGGTAATGTTTACCAGGGGGTAAGGCACGGATATTTAAAGATAAATCGAGATATGTATGGAGGTTATGTATGGAATGAGATATCGTGCAGATGGCTGCCGTGGCGGATCGCGATCTTTTAATGATTATTTTAGCCACATTTTCATTATAATGGTTTACAATTTGCATTTGAAGTACGTAATAGGTATCATCGCTTCTTGTGGTGAATGATCAATTTTAGTCCAGGTTTTGTATATCCCTTCTATATTGATACCTTCCTACACATTTTCATTCGTATTTATTTAAAATTCGGTTTTTGAAATTCGTAATGGTGTCTACATCCGATGGCAGAACATTGTTGAATTCAAAAAGATTAATATTTCCTATTTAAATTTGAAGACTTTAAGTGCATTATCTAATCATTTATTGATAATGGTTATTTTTTCCATTGCGAGGTGTATTAAAAGCTCATCCGGAACTTAAGGTTTTTTTACATGTTTTTCTTTGTCTTTTTTCCGACAATAAATCTCGAACTTACAATTTTCAGTTTTTATTCGGATACCCATACTCTTTGCTGAAGTTACTCATTACTTGGCAATGAGGAAAATAGGATATTTTTTTATTATACCCTCATCCATATGGCTAGATCGGGTATATATAATTTGATACGGCTAAAACGTACCTCATCGAAATAACTGTTTTCGACCCTAGGTCTCTTAAGTCAAAATCCGTTTCAGGACATTTGGAGTCGATCTACCGACGTCCGTCCGTTCGTCTGTCTGTCTCGCTGCCGGGTGTGCATAACTCTCCACCAGAAGGAATCGTCCGATCTCTACCGTTTTTTTTAACAGATCCTGTGTTGATAGAAATATTCAGATGTGCCAAGTCTAAATGGAATCTGAGGTTAATTTCGCGTTTTATGAGCTTAACGGAATTTCAAAATTTCGACCTTATGTGGGGGAGGCAACAGAAGGAGAGAACCGATATATTCCATCTTAGCATCAGATCTTGGGTTTATTGAAAATATTGGGATGTGTGAAATTTTAAGACAATCGGATTCTTACATCACAAAAATATTAAGATGTACCAAGTTTGGACCAAATCGGATACTCTCTTCGAGAGTTATCATGCGCACCAGCCAGACAGACAGACGGGCGGACGGACGGACATCGCTAGATCGACTCCAAATGTTCTGAAACGTATTTGGTTCAAAGAGACCTAGGGTCTAAAACCGTTATTTCAACTAGGCTCGTTTTGACCGTATCAAATGATATATACCCACTGTAGGCATATGGCTGATGGTATAAAAATTATTTTACTGCATATACAATGAAACAAGTAGTTTTTTTACATGGCCATATCATGGATTGTTGTTGACGTTTAGTCAAACGAATAATGGTCCGAAGTTTATTCCACGTTTTAAATACTTATTATTTGAGACTTTTCAGTCTTATAAATATTTTTATATGGGGCTTCGAAAAAAATTAGCTAATCTCTCTTCGGACTCGGCATTTAATGGATGGGCCTAAATAACCTAACTCTCACAATGGACTTTCAGTTTTTATTCATTTTTTAGCTATTTTACATTTAGTGTACCTTGAGATCCGATATATTTCTCTATCTGTGTTATATCCGCTATTTTCTTAAGAGAGGAAAAAAATTGCGATTTTTATTTTGAATCTTTCCGGTTTAATTAGAAAGCAACACATTTTCCGCCAGTAATTCACCTCACTCCATCTATTTCTATGCCATATCTACTGGAAATTGAAGAATGGATTAAATGTATTAATTGAATTATGGATATGAGTTGTTAAATTTGACTTCATTTGCTAAGCAAATAAGCAGAATTTAAACATTTAGTAAACCCCCAACTATGAAAACATAGCACACACACATACACAGATCCACATTGTTCGAACAATGAAAACAAAACGCAAAAACACAGACACACACAACCACAAACAAAATTTAGTTTTGCAAACAATGGAATTTTAAACACTATCTCTGGACACAATGACGGATAAAATTACAAAAGTATAAAACATAATAAAGGGTATACAAGCAAATGTTCATATTTAGAATTGTAAATGAAAATTTATTTAATAGATTAACAAAAGAAAAATTAAAAAAGACAACGTAATAACAACAAACATGAAAATCGCACAAAATTTAGTAGTTTTGAATATATTTGAGTTCAAAAAAAAAAAAAAAACAAAGAGAAAGAGAAAGAAAAAAGGAATTTCTAAGAGAAATCAATGGAATTATTTATTCACAAAAAAGGAATTAAAAAGAAAAATAAATAAACAACAAACAATTTTAATAATAATTATAATAAAAAGCCATTACATATCTGTAAATTGAATTTATTGTTATAAAGACTATTGTTATATGTTTATTATTTGTGTACTGTATATTTTATAAGCAATTAGTTTGTTTTTAGACTTTTTGAAAATGTTTTACAGGTGTTGTGGGTAGCGAAGTAATTAAAACTGGTTTATTTTATCAAAACACTGTGCCGGTTTTACCATAAATCATAATTTGCCAATAATCAAATTTATAAGCGCAATAATTGCAATGAATACAAATTTCATAGAGTTTTGTTAAATACTATTTATTATTGTATTTGTTGCATTTATTGTCCATGGTGTCTGCATGTGTGAGTCGACAAATATTTTAGTGGGAATTAAATTATGAAAATCCCTTGGCTTTGTGGTTTGTATTATATGTATTAGAATATTTTGAGTAATTATTAAATGTACGTATATATTAGTAATGATAAATATATGTAGTCGGGTTTGCTTTCGAATCGAATATGGTGTAAATGTTTTAAGAAATTGTAGGCAAAAGACACCAATCTTAATGCAGGTCATGTGGTATTAAATCACAGCATTTTTTTTTTTCAAATTTTAGCTAATATTAGCAGCTTCCAAACCATTTTTCATCTGCTTATAAAAACTCCCAAAAATAACCCCATTATCCCATTAATAATTGACGTTCATAACTAATTTTTTGCACTATCAAGTCGAACTAAAAATTGGATCTTGGACATGGTTACAAAAATTGAGAATAATCCCAAATTTACAGCAGAAACCCAACAAACATTTGGGAGCCGTATAAACCGAATAACCCACTACAAGGTAATATAAACAACAACTTCTGTATTACCAGTAGTTTGAAAATAACACTGTGCAACACAAACATAATTACAAGGAAACCAGCAGATTATGGAAGTAGAGCAAAAAAAAAGTCACGTATATCGGCATTTTTAAAGTTTACATTGCAAAGTAACCTGAGCAGAGGCAGCAAATTCCCCCCTCTTCGACACTTTTGGACATTTTTGGATTAATATTTCTCGGAATTCGTGCATTTTAGGTATAGAGTGTCTCCGGCAGTTATGCAAATAAAACCAATAAGAAAGGCCGCGTGGGCCGACTATATGATACCCTACACCACTATGCGCCTTTAGTAGAGCTCCCGTAACAAAAAAGGTTATATTGGGAATTTATGTGAAGTAGATGATACCAACTATGAACCAAATAACATTGCTGTATAGTGCATGATGTGGTGCACAATAAAATTGATAAAGATAAAGATCGGGTAAAGATATGTGTATGAGCTATATCCTAATCTGATCTCGATAAAATTTTACAGACGTATTTTTGAGAGGAGCAGGGGAACTATAATTATTCCGATTTCTTCCAAATTCGATGAGCTTGCTTCTAGACTGAATTCGATTGAATGTGCATAATTCAGATAATTTAGACTGATACTGGCCACTTGGTGCACAATTAACCCGATATCGGTTGAAGGTATATATGGAGCTATATCTAAATTTCCACCGATTCTCACCAATTCCAAAAGGTTTCGTCCTTGGACCAAACAAATATTGTTTGGAAAATTTCATCTCAATCGGATAGTAAATGCTACCTGCAAATACATGAACAAGGTGAAAATCTCAGGAATTTTAACCCTCAAGCGATTTAAGTCCTTTTGTTCCAAACTATCTATGGGCCTTATCAACATTTGGTCTAGGAATCCAAAAACGCTTTGGGAGTTTAATTTAAAGACGAGTACTATCAAGTCCACTTGGCAGTTTCCACAACTCAGACTAGCTAAAGAAGAGTGAAATTATAAGAAAATCCGCAGCGCATTGAAAAATTTGCTACATTTGTTTATTTCTGAAAATAAACAAGGATTTTTTATTAACAAAAATTGATGCTATTTTTTATGGCACAAATTTCTTTTGTTCAGACACTCACAATGAAATTAATTCTTCCTTCGACACTTTCCAAAAAAAAGAAGTATAAAGAGAGATTTCGACAAATGGCCAATATCAGTTCAAATAATCTGTCCCAATTCAGTCTGAAAGCATGTACATCAAATTTGGTGAAAATCGGTTCAGATATAGTTATAGCTCTCATAAATATATTTCATCTGATTTGGTGTTTAAATCCATGACGCATTTGTAATAAGCATTCCAGAAGTATGATATTTTGTATCAGATATCAGACACAGACCAGCAATTCCGGTTTTAAATGTAGCTCCCATATATATCTTCGGCTGATTTCAGGTTTACTGTGCATCAGATGGTTAATATCAAGCCAAATGACTAGAATTTTGTCACTTCCGACCTGTTAATATCAGTTCAAATTACCTAAATTTTATCACTTCAGGCCGATTTCAGTCTAAAAGCAGGTACTTAAAATTTGGTGAAAATCGGTTAGGAAATAGTTATATCTGTCACATATATCTTTCATCCGATTTTGGGCTTAAGTCCCTTACATGCGTAATATGAACTCCACAAGAATGATATTTGGTTTCAGATTACTAGTGGAGCTCAAAAATATCTCTGTCATATATATATATATATATATATATCTCCATCACTATGGCTCCCATATATATCTCTATCCGCTATCAGGTTTATTATGCACCAAAAGGCTAATATCAGCTGAACTGACTGAATTTTGGCAATTCCGACTGAATCCACCCTAGAAACAAATACTTCAAATTTGATGAAAATCGCTTCTGATATGGCTATAGCTCCCATATATATGTTTCATCCGATTTGGTGTTTTAATCCCTTCCATTTTAAATATGCAATGTATAACAATGATTTTTGGTACCAGATAAATCAGATAGAGCCCAGAAAGACCTTTGCCAAATTTTATAGAGAACGGCTCAAATGTAGGTATAACTTTTTCACATTCAACTGAATTTCTCCATTTGGCGAATCTCGGCTCCGATAAATATGTTTTAATATATTTCTTCGCGAAGTGATAGTATCCATTGTAAAGCAATGTTATTCTGTAGGAGAGGTACAAATTTTGACTTCATACGATCCTGTTTAAAGCGAGATTTTAGGCATATTTAAAAAAGGACCATAAATACCCCTTTGTTGACTCGAGGGAGGATTAAAATTTTAAACTTTAATATTCCTCTTACTTTTATCCGTAATATTGCAGAAGACACTATATACCTACAATGCACGGATTCCGAGCGATCTTAGTCCGAAAATTTCCAGAGGGGGGATTTTGCCCCGAATATTTAGGATGCATTGTCATTAAAACTCTCAAGGGGCCAATATTGGTGTCTTCTTTTTGCAGCTCTACTTTCGGCTGGTTTTTCCCCGAAATTATTGAATTATTGAACATTGAATTTTGTGGCACAATATAATTTAATAGGTAATTCGATTCATGTGGCTTCCAAACTTCTTATTTATTGGTACACACATGCTGTCTTATTTAGAAAACCCGTACCCACAACAGTCTCAGTATTTTCCATTATTTTTAAACTTAGAAAATTATTACAGTTGTTAACAGGTCTTAGAAATGTATAAATTTTTGTATGTATAATTTATTATTAATTTAAATACCTAAACATTTATTATTTTTATATTTCTTAATATACTTTGTTACATAGTTACGTTAAGCTATACCCATAATAAGTATTCTAAACGAAAATAATTGAAAATAAAAACGAAATCAAGAAAAAGATGTCAACAAATAACTCACAAAAGAGACAACAAATAATAATAAAACATTGTTATAAAATAAAAAGAAAATGCGAAATTAAGTGAAATTTTTAAAACAACACACCCCATATACACTCACACACACTTTAACAGGAATTACAGCAACAAAACAAGAACAACAAAATCTTAGCTAATTTAATTCACGAAACAAAATGAAATGAAATTGTTTTAACAAATTATTATTCTATACACAAATAACATCCCTTGGACACCGACCAGACAAATAATAACAGAAATCCGATTCCCAGAATATCCAATAGAAAATAAAGAATTATATTTATTGAAAATAAATTAAGATCATGTTTTTTATTTTCCAAAAACGTTAAAAAATATGAAATGGTAAGTAAATTTTATTTAAATTGCATGGCAATAGGAAATTTAACAGAACGAAGCATTTAAAAAAATCTGTCAAACCTTGTTAAATAAAGATTAAATCATCATCAATATCCGAAAGTTGAAAATTGTAAAAATAATATTCAAATAATAAATAAATAATTTATTACAAAGAGTGATTTGTTAAGAGCTTGATAACTTTTTAAAAAAAAAACGCATAAAATTTGCAAAATCTCATCGGTTCTTTATTTGAAACGTTAGATTGGCCCATGACATTTACTTTTTGAAGATAATTTCATTTAAATGTTGACCGCGGCTGCGTCTTAGGTGGTCCATTCGGAAAGTCCAATTTTGGGCAACTTTTTCGAGCATTTCGGCCGGAATAGCCCGAATTTCTTCGGAAATGTTGTCTTCCATAGCTGGAATAGTTGCTGGCTTATTTCTGTAGACTTTAGACTTGACGTAGCCCCACAAAAAATAGTCTAAAGGCGTCAAATCGCATGATCTTGGTAGCCAACTTACCGGTCCATTTCTTGAGATGAATTGTTCTCCGAAGTTTTCCCTCAAAATGACCATAGAATCGCGAGCTGTGTGGCATGTAGCGCCATCTTGTTGAAACCACATGTCAACCAAGTTCAGTTCTTCCATTTTTGGCAACAAAAAGTTTGTTAGCATCGAACGATAGCGATCGCCATTCACCGTAACGTTGCGTCCAACAGCATCTTTGAAAAAATACGGTCCAATGATTCCACCAGCGTACAAACCACACCAAACAGTGCGTTTTTCGGGATGCATGGGCAGTTCTTGAACGGCTTCTGGTTGCTCTTCACTCCAAATGCGGCAATTTTGCTTATTTACGTAGCCATTCAACCAGAAATGAGCCTCACCGCTGAACAAAATTTGTCGATAAAAAAGCGGATTTTCTGCCAACTTTTCTAGGGCCCATTCACTGAAAATTCGACGTTGTGGCAGATCGTTCGGCTTCAGTTCTTGCACGAGCTGTATTTTATACGGTTTTACACCAAGATCTTTGCGTAAAATCTTCCATGTGGTCGAATAACACAATCCCAATTGCTGCGAACGGCGACGAATCGACATTTCACGGTCTTCAGCAACACTCTCAGATACAGACGCAATATTCTCTTCTGTACGCACTGTACGCATTCGTGTGGTTGGTTTAATATCCAATAAAGTAAACTGAGTGCGAAACTTGGTCACAATCGCATTAATTGTTTGCTCACTTGGTCGATTATGTAGACCATAAATCGGACGTAAAGCGCGAAACACATTTCGAACCGAACACTGATTTTGGTAATAAAATTCAATGATTTGCAAGCGTTGCTCGTTAGTAAGTCTATTCATGATGAAATGTCAAAGCATACTGAGCATCTTTCTCTTTGACACCATATCTGAAATCCCACGTGATCTGTCAAATACTAATGCATGAAAATCCTAACCTCAAAAAAATCACCCTTTAGATAAAGAAGGTCCAAAAGTCAAAAGTATCCACCCTATCATGACAACTATGACATTTTTTTGAATTTACAATTGTAAGCCAAAAAAGCTAACATATGGGAGATATATCCTATTCTGAATTCATTTCCACAGAACAGAATTTGTATTTCGATTTTAATCAAATTCCACACACTAGTCTGAATTTGATATGGCAATAAATGCGCAATTTTTTTTTTTTTTTGGACGGACATGTATACATCGACTCAGAATTTTATTCTATGCAGATCATCAAAATGAACTATTGGTATATCTGGTTAAATACTTTATGCCTAAAAGTATGCAGTATATGTTATTTATGGATCATACACGTTAATATTAAAATGTAAAATTAATAAAGAGGGTCATTATTATGGCCTACAAAATGGAGGGTATATTAAATTCGTCACAAAGTTTGTAAGTCCCGAAATACATCATTAGATATTTACATATTTATGATCAACACTTAACCATTTAACCTTATATGTCGATTTATTCATGTCCGTCCGTCTGTGGATATCAATTAAATATTTTTAAGTCCGCGATTTGTTTAGGTCGCCCTAGATACAACCCAAATTAGGGTAGTGTTAGAGTTTTAGTCGATAGAGCGATGGTCGGTCCATATCACCGTGTAATGTGTAATATTAGCCCAGAATTTTGGCATTTGGAATCATGAAAGCAAACTGGGTCCAAAGACTTAAAATGGTAAAGACTAGACAAAATGCATTCTGAGCAAATGGTTTGTGGCTATACTACCTTGAATAACAGCTCATGACAGAGGCATGTTAATATAAACAACACAATTATAGGAAAGAATGACGAATAAAAGTTTGGGTAATCCAAAATATTGGTTTCAAAATTCTATTCCATATACCTTCCCAAATAATTACATATGGCCTTAGCGGTTGAAATTGCTTAACATTGGTAAATATGTTGTTACGATATCATAACAACAGAGGTATTTTTCACAGGGTTGCCATATTTTACTCTGTCTTGTCCTATCTTTATACTTCTATGTCTTTGCTGGGTCTGGAAGAAATGACGTCAAGTTTCGTTAAAATTGATTCAGATACAGCTCTGCCTCCCATATATATTTTTTATCCGATTCGTTAAGATTCCCCCACAGTCGTAATATGGATTCGACCGGGCCGAACTTTTAATACCCTACACCATTTAAAAGCAAAGACATAGAAGTATAAAGATGGGACAAGACAGAGTCAAGATATGGCAACCCTGTGAAAATACCTCTGTTGTTATGATATCGTAACAACATAGTTAGAAATGTTATGCGATTTAAACCGCTTAGGCAATATGCAATTAATTTGGAAAGTCTATGGAATAGAATTTTGAAACCCAATTTTTGGATTTTTCAAACTTTTGTTTGTCATTTTTTTCTATAAATATATTTTTTTATATTAACATGGTCCTGCCATAAGCTGTTACCCAGACAGTATAGACACAAACCATTTGCTCAGAATGCATTTTGTCTAGTCTTTACCATTTTAGGTCTTTGTTAAAAGGAACTTGAAAAATTTTCCAAAAAAAAAAAAAAAAAAAACGTTACATGAGGATATACGAAGACGTGGAAATGCATACAAAAATTTTTGTCATAAGCTGTAGTACCCATTACGAACTTCAAATACGAAATTTGAAATAATTCTGGTAATAATGTCGCTAAAATCATAAAAATACCGAATATCGGGAGGTACCGTTATATGGAGCTATACGAAAACCATTTACGAACTTAACGTGTCTACTGGTAAACTATGTATGTATGCAAAATTAAGCCTTCTATCTCAATAGTTCTTATCTATAGTTAAAAGGGAGTCCCTTCATTCAAGTGGTCTTGGCTACCTACTGACGCATCTATATTTGTGTGAGTGTTATGACTTTTATTATCCTACACATAATCGTATGCGACAGCGCATAAACATATTTGAATATATAGATAGTGCTAAGTAATCGGGAACGACTCCACTTCTTAATACTGCTTCTCGTACCGCCACCACCACCTTTCTCAGCTGGTTTCATCTTCCAAGTCTTAGAATTCCTTGGTGAAGTATAATTTAGTAGTTGCTGGCCGCTGTTGGGTTTTCAATGTTTTTTTTGTATTACCATGCTGTGGAACCGGAGTTTGTTTCGGCTGCTGTGTAATAATAATTTTCTTCAATTTGCCTCGCTTATCCTCTCCGAAGTTTTCTGCTCTTCCTGAGTTATCATACTTCGTTGTCACATGCTTAGACGAATTGTCATGATTGGGATCCAGATCTCAAACTCTACTCCCATCGCCAATAGGTCTCTTTCAAATTTATCGAGCAAGGCCTGTACCAAAACTTCAAGCCCATTTTTGTATCATTAACTTTTTTCGGGCCTTCTTCTAATATTTTAATTTGAGCTATTTCGGCCAATTGTAATGCAGTATTAAGGCTTTCCTCTTCCTTGGTTTCATTATTTTGGGTAAGAGCTCTAATTTTTTCCTCCGACTTAGGACTTGCCGGCAGGAACATATTCATATTTTCAAAGTTTCGAGCGGCAGCAAAAACACACCAGTCACAATCGCAGTCATCTAGATAAAATATTCAATATCTTCTAGCCATTTCGAGAGTCTCCGCTTCTCTGCAAATATTGAAAAATGAGCTCGGGGTAAAATCAATGAAATTCCAAAAAGTGCAAAAACTTACACCGCAACAGAAAAAAAATTGACTCAAAAGAGCTAAAGTGTTGCTTCGCTTAGCCGAACTGCCGAATTGGGTTTTCTCCGATGAAAAAATATTCGTTGTGCAGCAGTTTGTGAACAAACAAAATGATCGTGTTTACTTGCCAAAGAGGTCAGCTGAAACTGTGCACCTTCGGTTGGTCACCAGAACTCAAGCGCCGGCCATGGTGATGGTTTGGGCCTTAATAACAGCCGATGGTCGCTCTCCGCTCATATTGATCGACCGTGGCATCAGAATAAGAATATTTTGGCCGCAGACCTTGTCAGCACCATCGCACTCAGCACGCGTCACCCAAGAATGGAAACAAACTGAGGTTCCTCGGTTCATTTCCAGCGCACAATGGCCACCGAAATATCCGGATAATAATCCGTTGGACTATTGTGTTTGGAGTATTTTAGAAAGCAAGGTTGACACTAAAAAATACCAAAGTATCGATCACCTCAAGGAAGCGCTTCGCCGGGAATGGGCAAAAGTACCGCACAGCAACATTCGGGCAGCGTGTCTCGGTTTCATTGACCGTTTGAAAGCCACAATTCCTGCCAAACTAAGTAGAGCTCCACATAACAATTAAAAGTTTTTATGGGAGAATTCAATCATACACGCTATGATTATAATTTAAACTTCAAAGGACTAAATATGCCGAAGCATTTGTATCTTTTAAATTCGGAATTGTATTGCCCATTTGGTGCACCATTAATTTGAAATCGGATAAAGATATATATGGGAGCTATATCCAAATCTGAACCGATCTCGA